GGCCCCCTTGGAAAAATTGAGCCGTGTTGAAAGGGGGGGGGGGGACGACAGTATGAATCACAAGCTCCAATGTAATAAGAGAGACATGGAAAACTTGATGCAGCAGAACAGTAGAAGAGGAAGGCTGACACAGGGAGGCATTTGCTGTGCTTCTGAGGTGGGATGTTGAAATAAATGGTCTCCATGTGGCTGGTTGTACGAGTTGCTGAGGGTTTTAAAAGATAAGCAGTCTTCCAACAGGTGTGGGAATGGACGTGGGCTGCAGGGCTCTGGCCTTCTGCAGGGATCCAGCTCTGCACGGCAACGAGGGGGCAGGGGACTCCAGATGCTCTGCACAGGCTGAGCTATAAATGTCTTGGCTTCTGTTACGATTTAAGGGACGCTGTCAGGGTAAAGCCATCTTCTCCACGTGACATTGCCTAGCATGTAAACTGAAGGCCACAGCAGGATTCCTGCAGGAAACTCTGCTTTAGAAACTGCCTTCAGTTGTCATGTGCAGGGATTTTTTAATTATTATTTTTTTAATTACTTTTTTTCAAGCTTTGCAGAATGTGCTTTGAGAAAGAAAATGAGCACAGCAAGAGGGAATCGGATTCATAAATCAACAGCACAAGAATGATGGTGCAACAGCACCATCCCCTCCTCTAGCAGGAGCCAGAACAACCCTGGGGAGGAGCCCCTGCCCAAACCAAACACAGCAGATGCCTCCAGGGCTGCTCCAATACACTGGGGAAATTCTGCTGGTCCTGCTTTTCTTTCACCAGCTGCCTGCCTGGGAGGGAGCCTGGCTGAGCTGCTCTGCCAGCCTCTGCATCCTGACAGGTGCAGGAGACGGGCTGAACCAAGCCAGCTCTGGGGTCACCACACTGTGAATGCTTAAAACTGGGGCTCTTTGCAGTAAAGGAAGGAATGAATGAACATTCTCTCATGTCTCCCCTGCCAACAGGCTTCTTGCAGTGTGCCAGGAGGAAATCCTATGGCAGTAACTACAGTTCAGACAAGAAAAAAGGACCTTTGGTAGGGCAACTAGAAGCCAAAGCACCTTTTTTTTTTTTTTTTTTTTTTTTTTTTTTTTCCAGAAACTTGCTGTATCTCCATTTTTGTCAGCAATTTGTCACCACAACAAACCCATACTCTCCCATCTCTTCTGCCTCCCTCAAAAGCCAGATGACCATAACCAAAGTGGCTGCTGTAGGCCTGGCTGTGATGTTGTTAAAGGAGTTCCTGCCACTCTCTGAGCACTGCTGCTCTCTCTCCTCCTGTTCTCACAAACACACAGGGTCTGCCTGATACATTTTGGGCCTCAATTCAGCCCTTGCACAACTTTGGGAGGGGGGATAACCTTAAAAGTATGGACTTCATATGCCAAAGACTTTTTTTAGCAAGGTCCAATTCCACCAATATTAACTTCACCTTCTCCCAGTCCTGTCTCCCAGCTTCCAAAAGAAGCCTCTTCATGCAGCCCTTCCTGCATGTGTCTGATTGGTGAGTCAGTATCTTCTCAGCACCCACCAGCCTCCTCCTCACCTCAGTGCCCTCCAGAGCCAGGCCCAGGCTTAGAAGAGGAGCTGCTGTTTCACACCCATGCCTTTCACCCCACCAGAGAGGCAGGAATTGTTCTGATACCCACCAAAACTGCTGACTCCCTGAGACATTTGCACATACACCTGGACTAGTTCATTCTGTTTGCCCCGGACTGCTCTGGACAGCTTTGCCCCACCTCTCCTCCTGGCCACTGCTGGGAGGACCAGCAGGGATGGCAGCTCAGCAGACGCTGTTTGCAAGGAGAGAAAACCCCAGTGGGCCCAAGGAAAGGGCATGTGCTGAAGCCTGGGAAGGAGAGTCAGCTCTGGCTGACATATCATTCCTCTCTTGTTCTTCCTTTTCTCCCTGATGCTGCATCAACCCCACACACCTCTTCCTCCACCTTCTGTGGCAGGAGCCCGGGACACTTCTCCTGCTCTGTTCCCAAATGCAAAAGCCCAAATCCTTCCTGTAGCGCTCTGAAGTCCTGCCCCTGCTTCCTTCCTGGGCTCCTCTCTATCCACTTAGAGCTCACGACCAAATCCCTCCCCAGGCAGGGCCGGCTCCGCACACCCTCCCCAGCGCACCCCAGGGCTGTGACTGCCCCCAAAGCTCTCACCGCCGCAGCCGGACACTCATTGGGCCTCTCGCACAGCCCAGCCCATGCCCAGACACGTGAGATTCATCTCATCTCGTTCTCCCAATGAGGAGCTTGCAGAGTAACCTGCACTCCTTACCCTTCCTGGAGGTGCTGGGATGCTCCTCCTCTTCCCTGGGGCAGCGGCTGGGAGCGGGCGGTGTTCCCGGCCAGGGAATGGGCAGGGAGCTGCGAGCAGCTGCTGTTGCTCCTGGTGGCAGCGTCAGCACCGAGCCTGGGCCGCCCCAGTGCTCTGCATACAGGCGCAGCCAAGGAGCCTGGAATATTTAACCAGTGCTTTCACACAGCCCCTGAACTGAGAAAGCACTAAAACCTGCCCTTCGAAACACCCCTCTCTCGGCAGCGTCACTACTGCTTGCAAAACAGCAGCTCCCACCAGTGCTAGGAAGACTGAAAAGCTGGCTTTGCTTCCCTCTCCTTAAGTTGCTGCAGGATGGATCCTAAGAACAAGTCTGCCATGTATTTATTGCAGAGCCAGTAACAGCCTGCCCTTTTAAATCCTCTTGTGAACA